TTGATAGCAGAAAGCTTTCATAAAGCGGTCTGATCTCTGCAGGGCTGGCTGTGTGAGCTGCTTCGATGGAAGGAGAACCCCAGCCCGGAGAACAGAACCCTGTGGGACAACCTGTGCACCATCCGGAGGTTCCTGGCGCTGCCGCAGGCCGACAGGGACCTGGCCTATGAAGAGGAGTCGCGCCACCATCACAGCGAGCGGCTGCACACCGTCCTCCACCTGCCGCAGGATGCCCACGTAAGCTCTCCTTATCTGTCGGCTTTTACCGACATCACAGCGGCGTCTCAGAAAACGGGCGCCAGATGCTTCCACATCTATTCCTGACTGATTGAGGAAAACAGGGAACGTTGCTGCCACCTCGCTCCACTTCCACGTCTCTCCTCAGAAACTCCATCTCATTTTGTCTAAAGCATGAAGCCTTTTTCTCCGGATGTATCGTCCGGATATGTCCACCGTCACTCAGCTCGTTTGTCATTATTGCGTTCTCGTATTTATTCGCTTAGAAGTAAGCATCAGACCGTTTGATCTTGTGGCGTGTTGTTGGCGTGTGTTTGTGTGTCCATGTTTGCCCCTCCGGAGCGAAGGGTAAACAGTGTTGCTGGGTGGTGTGGCATCAGAGGAAATGCCCCATTAGTTTATGAGGAGGGCGGGTAGGGAGATCGATGCAGGAAACATGGTGACGTGTCAGCGGCCCTCCCACGCAGACAACATCCAGATTACTCGCTTTTCTCCTGCTGAAGATCCTCTTCACATCCAACTTCAACAGAAACTGTAAAGAAGGAGCTGCTGCTGCATGTGGATCTGGGAACGTGAATAAAGCAACTTCCACACACTTTAACCCTTTATAGGGCCCTCAGTGAAATACTTTGAAATTCAAAATTTCAAGCCAATAGTGTTATTGGAACCCAGGTTAAAAAATTAAGAAAATAATGTCAATGTAATAACAAACGCCAACTTGTTCGACTATATTAAGAAAAATAACAAAATTGCTTCTATCAGAAATATAATATCTGGTATTAAAGACAAAGAGCGGGTCTTTGCGTGTTGTTTGATTCTGAATAAAAGTTGAGACTTAATAGGAATCTTCCCTTCCTGTGTGGTCTCAGTGGGTATTAAAGACTGCACTGCAAAACATTTAAATCTTAATAAGTCAATTTTTCTTAAAATAAGTGTATTTTTTCTTGAACTGAGGAGGTAAGTGAGACACTTTGCCAATGGAACAAGACAATTTACATTTAAAATAAGAAAAAACAATTGCATTGTCTTATTTCAAGCACATATTATCTAATTATCTTATTTTAAGAATAAAAATACTCATTCCATTGGCAGGTCATCTTATTTACCTGCTCAAATTAAGGGTAAATACACTTAATTTAAGACATTTTTCACTTATTTCTAGATGTTTTTTGCAGTGTGCTCACAGTTACTACACTGGAGAAAAAAAAATCTAGATAAG